TGTGCCACAACTGCTGAACCTGAGCTCTAGAGCCCATTAGCCACAGCTACTGAGCCAGTGTGCCGCAACTACTGAAGCCCGTGAGCCTAGAGCCCGTGCTCCGCAACAAGAGAAGCCACCGTAATGAGAAGCCTGCGTACTGCAACGAAGAGTAGCCCCTGATTGCCACAACTAGAGAAAGCCCGTGCACAGCAATGAAGACCCAACACAACCAAAAATAAATCAAAAAAAAAAAAAAAAGATCCTCAGTGAAGGTTCGTTGATTCATCAGCTGAGTGGTATGAGGAAGGATTGAGACCTTGGCCTGGTGAGTCTGAGCTCAGCTAGGCCCCAGGCACTTCTGGAGTCTATCTGGTTTGGTGGAAGGAGCTCTGGATGGAGAATGAGATTTTGGTTCATTCTCGACTGTCACTATCTGAGTGGCTTTGGACAAGTTTCTACCTTTTTGGCATGTCATTTCTATAAAGTGTTAGCGAGGAGAGTAGTGCTGAATGCTCATGCCTACTGCTGCACTCTGTCCAATATGCTTCCCTTCTTTGAGGAGTGCTTTGGGTCAGGCTTGGAGTTGAAGGTGTGGAGGCCGACTCCAGAGAGTTCAATACTTTCTGTAAGATGTGTTAGGATTGGTGTCATGAGACAGAATAGTGATTTGTGAGAGCTGGCATAGCCTGACCTTCCTGGGAGGTCGCTTCTCGAGGCTTTCCTCATTCACCCCCACCCTGGTCACTCTGCTGGGGGCACATACATGAGAGCTGAGGACAGGAAAACACTTTGCCCTCTTCACAGAAGGAATTTTGCCAGCTGCTTCCCTTGTCCCTGTTTGCCTTTTCACCTAACTGATGTGAAAAGAGAATTTAACAGATGTGATTGGAGTGTGGAGCAGCTATGATCACCTGGAGGTCATCAGCAATTCCCCGCATCAGAGCTGGTACCTTCTTTCCTGCACTCTTGATCTGTAGTTGGGAAGGTGGAGTACCAGCATCAGCCTGTCTTTGAAGAGTTTCTAATTGGAACAAATATGAGAGAAACTGTGTCCCAGAAAGGAATAAGGAAGGTCAGAGAGGGATAATCCTTGGCTGTCTCACTGCTGACTTGAGATCCTTGCTTAGACTTTGTTTAAAGTGAAAAGTCAGCCCTTTTCTTTTGTAAACCTTAGTTTTTCTCATCAGGACCAGACTAAATATACACATCTAAACAAAAAGAGCCTGTGGGTATACCTGGAGACAGTTACTTATTTTGCAGATCTAGGGTTGTACCTCCTCCCCAGGAAGAAGTGACATCTGAGTAGCTGTGCTGCGTCACCCATGCAATTTGTCTTCTCTCTGAATGGTGGTAGATGTTGTTCACAGTGCGGTCTTGGGGATCAGGGCCTGTGTTCTGCCTCAGGAATCCTGGCCCAAGAGCTTTTTTTTCCTGAGCTGCAGCCCTTTACTGTATTAAGTCTTGTATTTTCCCTGAAGGAAGAGATGAGTCTGCAAAATTCCAAAGTCCACAGTTCTAATCTTTGGCCTCTGTGAAAAAGAACCTTGTTTCTAAATGCCTTTGTTTATTATTTTTTTAATAATTTATTAATTTATTTATTTTTGGCTGCATTGGGTCTTCGTTGCTGCGCGCAGGCTTTCTCTAGTTGGGGCGAGCGGGGGCTACTCTTCGTTGCGGTGCGTGGGCTTCTCATTGCGGTGGCTTCTCTTGTTTTGGAGCACGGGCTCTAGGTGCGTGGGCTTCAGTAGTTGTGGCACGCAGGCTCAGTAGTTGTGGGTCGCGGGCTCTAGAGCACAGGCTCAGTAGTTGTGGCATACGGGCTTAGTTGCTCTGCGGCATGTGGGATCTTCCTGGACCAGGGCTCGAACCCGTGTCCCCTGCATTGGCAGGCGGATTCTTAACCACTGTGCCACCAGGGAATCCCTAAATGCCTGTGTTTAAACATGATTTCCTAAGCTGCTATATGGGATCTCCTGGGCATTTGGGTGAAAACTGCAGCAAATCCTGAAGAGCCCATGTTGGTTGAGGAATCTTTTCCTCTTATGTGAGGAAAGATAAATCTCATTCTGCTGAGAGTCATACTGACATACTGATTAAAACCTAAGCCCTTAATCTTTGGTCTTTTTGTCTGATGGATTGGTAATCAAGGTCTTGTGTACATTTCAGAGGTGAGCTTTTTCCTTGGGAACATTGGTCAGTTATTGGTCAGTTATCACCACATTAGCCACATTGGTCAGTTATCACCATCTTGGATTCAGACTCTCACTCAGGGCCTCTGTGTGGGTTCTCTGTGACCCTCAAGGTGCCCCAGCAAAAACCTCCCTGGGTCTCCCTCTGCTGCCTTTCATGGGATGTTTTGCTGGCTTTGAAACAGGTTGGGGGTGGGGGTTGGTGTTGCCCCTGGGCAGCCATGGAATCTCTGACCCTAACCAGTTCTTTTCCTTCTTTTTTGTTTTTAAATTAATTTTTATTGGAGTGTAGTTGATTTACAATGTTGTGTTAGTTTCTGGTGTACAGCAAAGTGAATCAGTTATACATATACATATATGCACTCTTTTTTAGATTCTGTTCCCATATCAGTCATTACAGGGTATTGAGTAGAGTTCCCTGTGCTATACAGTAGGTCCTTATTATCTATTTTATATATAAAGCAGTGTGTATATGTCAACCCCAATCTCCCATTTTATCCCCCTCTTTCCCCCTTGGTTGACCAGATCTTTTCAACCATTAGATTCTACATCCAGCCACCCCACTGCAGCACTTCCAGAACTGAACTCTTCCTACTGCTTCCCAAGCCTGTCCCTCCTGCTGCACTCCTGACCTTCTGCCCAGGAGCTGGAGTGAGGGACTGGAGTGCTGTCCTCTCCTCCCTTTCACCCCTATGTCCAGCCTCCAGTCCCTGTCACTTCTCCTGCTGACCTCTCTCCATTCCGCCACCCTGTCTGTGCTGCTACCTTCCTCACTGGCCCTTTCAGTCCACTTTGACCCTCCTCCAGTTCAGCCTTATACTTGTTTCTAAACACAGAGTCGCCTCTCCTTGTAAACCCTTTGGTAGCTTCCTTTCACCTCCCAGGAAGGTCCTGGCTCCTCGCTGTAACTTGGGCTGCTCTCCACAGCCTAGTTCCTGCTGACCTTCCAACACTTCAGCCCCCAGTTCTGTCTTCACATCACCAGAATGCACATTCCCAGGCACGGGATGCTGCTCTGGGCCTCTGAGCCTTTGAGTGTGTCATTCTCTCTGCCTGAAACAACATTCCCACCTTTCCTCACCTGCCTCATTCTTACTTCAAATTCAGCATGGGGGTCGCCTCTTCCAGGAAGCTTTCCCTAATCCCTGTGTCATTCTTGTGTCATTCATGTATCTACTATTGTTTCTCAAGCCTAACATTTACTTTGTTATATTGAAATTACCTGTTTTGATGTTTTGCTCTTCATTTAGACGATGAGTTTATCGACCATGTTTTGCCTGTATTGGATATGTTAAAATATACCTGCACTGGACGTCTTATTCATTCCTGTATCGCTAGTAGATGTTCAGTAAACGCTTGTTCTGAGTTGATCATTTTATCCCCATTTCTGTATATCCTAATTAATAGGAAATTCTCAGCTCTTTTCTTTCACCCCTGGGGCCCTCAGATAGACTTAGAGAAGGGCAGGCTGGATAGAAATGACCTCTGGAAAACGGTACTTCAGCACTTCAACTTGTCCAGGGCCCCACCAGCCACAAGGTATTAATAGTTGGAACATCTTTGTCTGGAAAGCAAATGGGAAAGTCTCCTGGATTCTCATCCCATGGAAGCAGAGTGCCCCAATCCACAGCCTGAGTCTCATCTGGATGAAGTTGTTAGTGTCCTTTCTGAGCTCAAGGCCCGCTCTGCCTCTTTTTTTTTTTTTTTGGCTGCACTGCGTCTTCTTTGCTGCGCGGGCTTTCTCTAGTTGTGGCAAGCGGGGACTACTCTTCGATGTGGTGCGCAGGCTTCTTGTTGCGGTGGCTTCTCTTGGTGTGGAGCACGGGCTCTAGGCACGTGGACTCCAGTAGTTGTGGCACGCAGGCTCAGTAGTTGTGGCACACGGGCTTAGTTACTCCATGGCATGTGGGATCTTCCCGGACCAGGGCTCGAACCCGTGTCCCCTGCCTTGGCAGGTGGATTCTTAAGCATTGTGCCACCAGGAAAGTTCCCCCCTCTGCCTCTTAAATGAATCCCAGGCTAGTTTGGTGGCTATCTGGTGGCAGTGTGCTAAGGCTTGTGGTTCCTACTTCACTGGAATTGATTTTAGCCATTTCTGGGACTTGTGTGGCATTTTAGCCATCTACGTGGTAAACTGGGGAAGTGAAAGACCATGGAACAGGGTGTTAAACTGCCAGGGTGAAGATGGTGCATTAGAAAAGTAGTGCGAGCCATCCAGGGAAGAGTGAGGTTAGGGCAGCACCCAGAGCAGTGGGTGGTGGTGGGTTGTTGCAGTGGGGGATCAACCCCTGCAGGAGGCCTAGAGGGCTAGGAAGGTATCCATGAGGGAGGAGGCCTTGGGGAAGTGGCTTTCTACACCCTGGTGGGTGATAGTGTTGGAGAACAGGCCTCCAACACTCCACGCCCCCGTTTCAGAAAAGATGAGTCAGAGTAATAAGAGGAATAATTTTAACCTTTAAAAAACATAGGACTTCAACTATGATAAGGGACCCAGGGAGAGAGTAGGGAGGAGGGTGGAGGCAGTGACAGCTGAGCCTGGTGCATGTTCCTGCCCCTCCTCAGAGTTGAAGAGCAGCATGAAAATTATACCCCTGGAGATGTACATCAAGACCACGGAACTCAGACCCAGTCTTTCATGTGGATCCTTCATGGCATCTGGGCTCTAAGCACTCAGGGGCCAAAGCCATTCTCCCTTCCAGGGAACCATACCAGAGTCAGGTCTTCAGTCTGGGTTTATCCAGGGCCAGGGGGGAGGGGGTAAGGAGGATGGCTGGGATCCCTCCAGAAGTGTCCCTGGCTATGCTGAGTTCCTTTCTTCTGTCTGTGTAGGTGTAGACGGGGCACTGCCTGCAGAGCAGGTTCTGCCAGCCTCGCTAGAGAGGATGCCCCCGTGTCCGTGATGGGCTGTGGGACAAGCAAGGTCCTTCCCGAGCCGCCCAAGGATGTCCAGCTGGATCTGGTCAAGAAGGTGGAGCCCTTCAGTGGCACTAAGAGCGATGTGTACAAGCACTTCATTACAGAGGTGGACAGTGTTGGCCCTCTGAAAGCTGGGTTCCCAGAAGCCAGTCAGGGTGCAAACCTCTGCCCTGGTGCCCCCACTACTGGCCACACAGAGCCTCCCTCAGAGCCACCACGCAGGGCCAGGGTGGCTAAGTACAGGGCCAAGTTCGACCCACGTGTGACAGCCAAGTACGACATCAAAGCCCTGATTGGCCGAGGCAGCTTCAGCCGAGTGGTGCGTGTGGAGCACCGGGCAACCCGGCAGCCATACGCCATTAAGATGATTGAGACCAAGTACCGGGAGGGGCGGGAGGTGTGTGAGTCGGAGCTGCGTGTGCTGCGCCGGGTGCGCCACGCCAACATCATCCAGCTGGTGGAGGTGTTTGAGACACAGGAGCGCGTGTACATGGTGATGGAGCTGGCCACTGGTGGAGAGCTCTTTGACCGCATCATCGCCAAGGGTTCTTTCACTGAGCGTGACGCCACTCGAGTGCTGCAGATGGTACTGGATGGCGTCCGGTATCTGCATGCACTGGGCATCACACATCGAGACCTCAAGCCTGAGAATCTGCTCTACTACCACCCAGGCACTGACTCCAAGATCATCATCACCGACTTTGGCCTGGCCAGTGCCCGCAAGAAGGGTGACGACTGCCTGATGAAGACCACCTGTGGCACACCCGAGTACATTGCCCCTGAGGTACTGGTCCGCAAGCCCTACACCAACTCAGTCGACATGTGGGCGCTGGGCGTCATCGCCTACATCCTGCTCAGTGGCACCATGCCCTTTGAGGATGACAACCGCACCCGGCTGTACCGGCAGATCCTCAGGGGCAAGTACAGTTACTCGGGGGAGGTGAGTCTTCTGTCTCGGGGACGTTGGGAGGCCCCTGGGTGGGTGGGGGCTCCTATCCTACAGCCCTTAATCAGGGGCATGTGCTCTCAGGGCCGTGTTCGTGGGGCCAGACAGATGATGTAAAAATGGTAAAGTGAGACTAGTAGGGTATCTTAGCTTGAATTTCCCCAAAAGTGAGCCCTGAGACAAGGACTTGGGAGCAGACTGAGGACCCTGTGAATAATCATGTGGAATGTGCTCAGAATTGTACCACTGAGGGGCAGGAAAGAGGGTGGGTTTTAATCCACTGACTCTTGTATGAGTCGAGAATTTCTTTGCAGGGGCTTTTAATGCCTGGCACTTCTGGGCTGTTCTGAATGCCAACTAGTGGTGGAGAAAGTCCTCAGGCAAAGAAGAAGAGAGATACAGGCACTGGCCATGGGAAGCTGTCAGCACGCACGTGAGCACTGCAGCTGCAGGCGAGCCCAGAGGTGGGCTGAGAGGAAGCAGGACAGGGCATCCATAGCATCTAGTCCAGAGGACTAGGGCAAGCTAGTGACCGTGCCCTGTCTAAAGGAACAGCTGCTTCTCATCTCAGCCCAGTTTTGCCACAGAGCAGGGTGGACTCCATGCACCCAGACATTCTAGTTTTTTAAAGAGAAGCCAGAAAATCTGATCTTAAAGGGTTAAAATATAATTCACATATTTAAGCAGTACCATGTGCTTAACCCAGCAAATGCTTACTTCTGGCCCTAATTCAACCAGCAGGGCATCAGTTTGTGTCTTTGGATCCATTGATAGTCCTGATGCCTGAAAAGACCTGTTAGGTTTCAGCACTGCTGGGAGCTGAAGGGAGGTGCAGAAAGAGTAAGAACTGGTTGGTCCTCAGACAGGATGCTGACGGGGTAGGAGACAAGGCTCACCACAGGAAACGGTGAACACAGCAAGCTGGATAGAATGTTCTTGGGGAGGTTGTGAAGAGAAGAATGTGTGATGGCTTTATGTGGGAGGTGAGGTAAGCTTTGCAGGATGACAGGATTCTGCCAAGGCAGTGAGGGCCCCTCCCCAAGTGGCCCTTGCAGAGTGCTCCCCACAGTGTTCCTCTCAGGCCTGCACTGCTATCCATGCCTCCTGAACAACCCATGGAGAGGGGAGGGAGCTCTGGGACCAGCTCCCTTCTGCAGCCCAGCTTTCCTCCCAGGAATGTTGGACTGGGCCCTCCCTGGTCTCAACCAATTGGCCCAGAGCAGCATTTCCTACAGGAGTTGCCCCAAAGCCTCATGAAGGCAAAGTGCCTGCAGTGCTTGTGGTCCTGTGCTCGATCATCTTCCCTGTCCGCTTCAGGACATGGTCGTGGGGTCAGTCAAGGATTTCCCTCCTGTGAGCATGGGGGCTGGCCTTCCCTAGGGGGTCCCCACATCACGTGCCTCAGGGTGGTGAGAGGAAGGGAGGGAAGCCACCTTCTTGCAGCCAGCTCTGTGCTGACCACAGGTGAAGGAGAAACTGGGACATTCTCCAGCTCTCCCCTAAAGTTTTTCATGTTTTCTTCTGTGCTCCAAATGGATTCAACAAAACAAATGCCAACTGGCTGGGAAGCCCAGGCTGTGATGCAGTGGTCACAGCGGACACCGCCCTGCTCACCCTTTGGGCTGGGTTTCATCACAGGTCAGAAGAGCCAGAATCCACCTCACAGAGGCAGTGTTGTGCCAGGGCCCTGCCTGGCTTGCCCTTGGAGCTCTGTGTGGTGTAGCTTAGCTACAGGAGGCAGGGAGGTTTCCCAAGAGTTGCTGACAAAGGAAGGATTCTTTCCAGAAGTCTGTAGGTTTGCCCAGGAGTTCCTGATTCTGGCAGTCGTTGATCAGGCAGTTTATCTAATGGGAGCTTGCAGAGCCTTGCTAACTGGCTGTTGATTATCTGAGGGTGAGAGAATGACAAATAAATAGGGTGGGGAATGAACTCAGGCTTCCTGCTCCTATTGTGGCCACAGACTGAGTCCTGAGACTCTGCTTCCTGCTCTGCTGGAATCACGTGGCACGGGTCTGGGGCTCCTGGTGTGTGTGGGGGCACTGCCCAACCTTTGGCCCCCACTGCCCTGCATCTGAAGCTGAAAACATCAGTTCCCAGTCCCAGATTCAAATCCCTGGCCAGCACTGATGGCACCTGTCTGTTACCAGGAGCTTGGCAGACCCCGAGAGGAGATTCCACCACCATCTGCAGAGAGCTCTGGATTGGGAGGAGTTTGGGGTATTTCCTGGGTAAGGATACCTTATCATTAGATCAGGCTCTCTGAGCTGGAGACCAGGCATCTTTCTCTTTTGCTTGTAATTGCCTACCCGTAAGTGCACTGGGGATGATGCAGAGAGACATGAAGGCCTGTTCCCCATCCCCATGAAACTTGAGATTGCCCGGGAGAAAGGACTAGGAATAGGAAATGGCCACAGAACGAACCCCTGTTGGCAGGCACATGCCAGCACAGGCCTGGGCAGTCTGGAACATGGGCCATGGGGCGCAGGTCAGGTGGTGGATTGGCCCCCCTTCTTAGGACTGGGCCCTGCCCCCATCCTCACCCAACCATCTGTCTTCTACTGTGTGATGGTCATTTGCCCTTATGAAGGCATTCTGAGTAAGCAAGGCCCTGTCTGAGAGCCTCAGGGAGGTGTTTCCATCTAGCTTCTTGTGCAAATAAGGGACTGCCCACTTTGAACTCAGCAAGGTTTGGAGGTGTGCATTCCTCACCTGACAGTAAGTCCCATGGCACTTGGTGCCTTTCTAATAGGCACCCTGCCCCCTTCCCCCTTATAGTGGTTTCTCATGTATACCATACTGTCTTGTGTGCTTGTTTCCCAGGGGCTCTATCCATGCAGCTCTCTTTCAGGCTCAGTAGTTTCTGTGGACTTGAATAGAGGACTTCCTTCAGGAGGTGGGCTTTGAGGAGGAGGAAGCTCAGAGAAGGGGATGTTGCTCACTGTGCTCCAGAATAAACAGGAGATTGTTTGGGAATAACAGCAGAGGTTGATGAGGCTGGGCCAGGCCTGGTGTTTGTTGCTGGGAGCTCTGTAGTGCCAGGGATTATTTGGAGATTCCAAGCATTAGGTGGGAGGGAGCCCTCTGACAGTGAAGGGGAAATGTAACAGGAAGTGTTGTGGGAGACTAGCTGGAGGGAAACTAACTGGGGGCTGTTGGAATAATCCCAGTTTGGAATGGGGGAGCCTGGTGTCCTGGGGATGTTTGGGTCAGATCAAGGATTCTAGCGAGTGGGCTCAACATAGTACATGTGAGCCATAGTTTAGAAAGAGAAGGAGTTGGGGGGCAGAGCCTTCCTGCAGCCCTGCAGGAGGAGCATCATCTCACGAGGCAGATTGAGAAAAGACCCCAAGCTGCCCTCTGCCCCGGAGAGTACGTAGAGTCCTGCTTTGACATCCCCACATGGGACCCAGCAGTGGAGGGATGCACACAAGTGGGGCCTCCTTCAGCACCTGCCCCACAATGCTGACACTCTAGACACTCTAGCCCCCAGCCCTGGCCCCACGCTCCACCCCATTCCCTACACACCATGGACCCGAGATGTTTGCTCCTTTCACTCCACACTATGCTTTTGCTCAGGATTTTCCCTCTATTCTCAGTGTCAGCCTAAGAAATTTGACTGGCTCTCAATCATCCAATTCAAAGATTGCTTCCATTAAGAATCATGCCAACCATTGCCATTGTGTAGCCTACTGAGTACCAGGCACAGGTCTGAGGGTTCTACACCCAGCATGTCTAATCTCTACAATAATCTTGTCAGTGGGTATAATCCCCTCATTTTATAGATTAGTAAACTGAGGCTAGTGAGGTTAAGTAGCTTGTCCAGGGTCTCACAGAGGGTGGCAGGCTTGGGATTTGAATCCAGGCCATCTTGGCTTCAGAGTTCTTGGCCTTCCCATGCCTACAGTCTACTTTCCCTGACACATATGCCTCAGCGTGTTGCTGGAGTCTTTGTTTCAGCACTTTCCCAGGCTGTCATCTGTGGACATCTTTTCCCTCCCCAGCCTGTAAGGTTCTTGAGGACAGCATGTGTATCAGTACATATGCTCCCAATACTTTCTCCTGCTTCTCTTGAGGGAAGCACCAGTGGTTGCAGGTGAGGCCCTGGGCAAGGACCCAGAAGTGACTGTCAGGTAGACTAGGCTGCTCCTGCTGGCTGGGAGTGTTCTCTTCTGGGGCTGGGCTCCAGGAAGAAGTGGGGAGCCTGCTGGAGATGCACTCAGGGGGTTGTTGGCCAGACCTGCATATAAGCAAATGTAGGAATCTTGGAAGAGGAGAGAGTTCTGGAAAGGAAAGCCTGTGACAGGTGATTTTGAGAGGAGAAATCTGAATTTTTATCCAGTGACTGGAGGTGCTGGAGTGGCGAGGGCCAAGCTAGGGTCATGTTGGAAGTGATCGGGAGATACATGTTGGCCAGATGTGAGGAAGGCCTGTGTGAGTGTGAGAGCAGTTTGAAGACAAGGAGAGTCACCTTGAAAGAGGGAGCTTCCTGTCATGGGAGGCCTGGAGCAGCTGCTTCTAAAGGAGTGACACAGAAGGTGAGTCACCATCTGTAGACCGTACGAGAGGACTGTTATGGTCCCGCCAACTTGGAGATTCTGTGATTCACCTGACATGAAATGCGACGTTGTGGGCCTAACGTTATTGCTTTTGTCAAGAGTTCTATTCCTAGAGGCAGGATGGATGAAGAGGCTCTTGTGGGAATGATGACAGAGTGATGCCATCAGCAGCTTTGCTGTCTGCCACGTTTAGCAACTTTTAATTGTCACCCTCCTCTGCTTGGGCAGTCTCTGAGCTGTGGGCGAGCCCAGGTGACTGCACCAGGAACAGGTGGGCTTGGGCAAAGGTTCTCACAGAGCCTTGTTCAGGAGAGTGAGTGCTGCCAGGCGGAGGACAGAATCCTGGTGGGAGACGAAGCTCACCTGCAGGACCGATCTGCCACTTCCCGGGGGATTGTGTTGGTGGGAGGTGGCTTTCCAGGGGTAGGTCTCTGGGCTGCAGGCTGACCATCCATCAACTTGGGCCAAGGGGCACTTGCTCAGGGACTGTGAGTTACACCATGTGGTAGTTCTGATAGCCCTGCAGTAGGATGAGTGCCCAGAGCCAGAGCTGACATTTACATTCCCATCCCAGCTGTTTGCCACTTCCAAAAGTGACTCTGACACTTGCCATTCTACCCTGGGATGTTGAGAGTAAAATGAAGTGCAGGGCATGTGGTGTGTTCTGGTGCTCTCCACGTGAGGGGCACCTGCGCCTGTGGGGGCTGCTCATGCAGCCTGCTTCACATGCTCTGACGGAGCGGCCAGGTGAGCAGGGATAAGACCTTGCCCCAGAGCCATGGGGTGGACTGCACGGGGGACGTGGGAGAGCTGGTGACTGGACATGTGTGGGCAGCAGAGCGGAATGCAAGGAGGCAGGTGGTGTATTTCTGGGCTCGTGCTTGGATTCTGCTGGATGCCTTTAATTGCCTCGTGTTCCCATGGCCAATGTGGATAGGGGCTCATGTGCCACCTCTGGGCTACTGCTTGGCTCCCTGGAGCCCCATCCTCTTGGCATCCCTCTGCTGTTGTTGCCCTGGTTACACACTCACCTGCTGTGGTGGCAGAAACTTGCCCATCTCCCCACATTGTTGCATTTAGCATTTTTGCCAAAACACCTTGCTCCGACCACCCACAGCATCTCGTTATCCCAAGGTCCTTTCATTACTGCTGTTTCCCACCGCCCTGCTGAGGTCTCCTCCAACAAAGGGGTATATTGTGGGTTGCGTTCAGAGCAGCTTCTGGTGCCCTATCCATCCCCTCCCTCTCCTGCTCTTCCCATTGTCTGCCTCAATAGCTCTGCCCTTTCACAGGCCCTGTTGCTTCTAGGCCCTTAAGTTCCTCTGGGACCTGCTGGGGCTCTTGTTTCTCCCACATTCTGACCTCTTTAAATCTGCTTATGACCTCCCACGCTCATCCCCTGCCTGCCCCCACTGAGGTGGTTAAAGGTGACCTGATCCAACCACACCCCCCGGCTGTGCCTCTCCAGACTCTCCTTCCTCGTAGGTTTCTCTGTCTCCCAGTGCGAGTGTGGTGCCCAGACCTGAGCTTTGCTGCAGCATGGCCCGGCCAGCCTGGAGCAGGAGACTGAGTCACCTTCGTCTCTTCACTCATCCTGCCAACCCATGTAGACCTAGTGCCTGCCCTGAGCCGAGTCCTTTGTACCCAGGGTTCCAGGGACACAAGCCTCTGGGGACAGAGGCCACAGTAGGGGTGGCATGCTGACAGCCACCAGGGATCCAAACTGCCTCAGAAATTAGAATGGGAAGAAGTTAAAAAAAAAAAAAAAAAAGCCAGGTTAGGCCCTGGAAATCACCTCACTTCAGCAGAACCCTTGAGTGGAGATAGAAGAGACCATTATGTAGCTAGCTCTGAAATCCAGAACCTTCTAGGGCTGTTCCAGGACATTGTTTTTTTGTTCTTGGGTTTTTTTTAAATTTAATTTTATTTATTTTTTATACCATAGGTTCTTATTAGTTATCTGTTTTATACATATTAGTGTATATATGTCAATCCCAATCTCCCAATTCCCCCCGCCACTTTCCCCCGTTGATGTACGTACATTTGTTCTCTACATCTCTGTCTCTGTTTCTGCCCTGCAAACCGGTTCATCTGTACCATTTTTCTAGCTTCCACATATATGCGTTAATATACGATATTTGTTTTTCTCTTTCTGGCTTGCTTCACTCTGTGTGACAGTCTGTAGATCCATCTGCGTCTCTACAAATAACCCAATTTCGTTCCTTTTATGGCTGAATATTCCATTGTATCTATGTACCACATCTTCTTTATCCATTTGTCTGTCGATGGGCATTTAGGTTGCTTCCATGACCTGGCTATTGTAATAGTGCTGTAGTGAACATTGGGGTGCATGTGTCTTTTTGAAGACAGGGTATATGCCCAGTAGTGGGATTGCTGGGTCATATGATAATTCTATTTTTAGTTTTTTAAGGAACCTCCATACTGTTCTCCATAGTGGCTGTATCAATTTACATTCCTACCAACAGTGCAAGAGGGTTCTGATTTCTCCACACCCTCTCCAGCATTTGTTGTTTGTAGATTTTCTGATGATGCCCATTCTGACTGGTGTGAGGTGATACCTCATTGTAGTTTTGATTTGCATTTCTCTAATAATTAGTGATGTTGAGCAGCTTTTCATGTGCTTCTTGGCCATCTGTATGTCTTCTTTGGAGAAATGTCTATTTAGGTCTTCTGCCCATTTTTTGATTGGGTTGTTTGTTTTTTAAATATTGAGCTGCATGAGCTATTTATATATTTTGGAGTTTAATCCTTTGTCTGTTTCTCATTTGCAAATATTTTCTGCCATTCTGAGTGTTGTCTTTTTGTCTTTTCTCAACTTTAAAAAAAATTATTTAATTTATTTTTGGCTGTGTTGGGTCTTCATTGCTGCACGCGGGCTTTCTCTAACTGCGGTGAGCGGGGGCTTCTCATTGCGGTGGCTTCTCTTGTTGCGGAGCATGGACTCTAGGCATGCGGGCTTCAGTTGTTGTGGCACGCAGGCTCTAGAGCGCAGGCTCAGTAGTTGTGGCACACGGGCTTAGTTGCTCCATGGCATGTGGATCTTCCCGGACCAGAGCTCGAACCCGTGTCCCCTGCATTGGCAGGCGGATTCTTAACCGCTGCGCCACCAAGGAAACCCTGTCTTTTCATCTTGATTGTAGTTTCCTTTGCTTTGCAAAAGCTTTTAAGTTTCATTAGGTTCCATTTGTTTATTTTTGTTTTTATTTCCATTACTGTGGGAGGTGGATCAAAAAAGATCTTGCTGTGATTTATGTCAAAGAGTTTTCTTCCTATGTTTTCCTCTAAGAGTTTTATAGTGTCTGGTCTTACATTTAGGTGTCTAATCCATTTTGAGTTTATTTTGTGTATGGTGTTAGGGAGTGTCCTAATTTCATTCTTTTACATGTAGCTGTCCAGTTCTCCCAGCACCACTTATTGTAAAAGACTGTCTTTTCTCCATTGTATATCCTTGCCTCCTTTGTCATAGATTAGTTGACCATAGGTGCGTGGGTTTATCTCTGGGCTTTCAATCCTGTTCCATTGATCTATATTTCTGTTTTTGTGCCAGTACCATATTGTCTTCTTTACTGTAGCTTTGTAGTATAGTCTGAAGTCAGGGAGTCTGATTCCTCCAGCTCCGTTTTTTTCCCTCAAGACTCCTTTGGCTATTTGGGGCCTTTTGTGTCTCCATACAAATTTTAAGATATTTTGTTCTAGTTCTGTAAAAAATGCCACTGGTAATTTGATAGGGATTGCATTGAATCTGTAGATTGCTTTGGGTAGTGTAGTCTTTTTTTTTTTTTTTTTTGAGGAACAAGAGCCCAGTTTTTTTATTTGATCATTTCTTGCATTTGAAGTACTCCTCGATGATATCCTTGGCCTGAGACTCTTTGCCATAGTCCTTAACCACCACACAGCTGCAGCCAACCACTTTACGGGGTTTTCCCTCTCTGTCAGTTTTACAGAGGCCTACCCATTCCCCTAGTTTCTTGTTGTCATCAACCTTAATCAGGTTGATTTGGTGCTCAGCACAAAGGGCCTCCACCAACTTGACATACATAGGCTCATCACAGTTGGACGCAAGCACACAGAGATGGGCTTGGCGCTTGTCTAAGGCTTTGGCAGCTTCGCGAATTCCACGTGCTAGGCCATCGTAGATGAGGGCGGTCTTAAGCACCTCTTGCAGAGCAGTATTAACGTCCATTACACCCTCAGCAGCAATGCCTTCCTCGGCCATGGCGGTGGGTTACGGCCATGGCGGTGGGTTACGGGTGGAGCCGAATCTAGAGTGCACCCGTGCCTGCACGTCCGCCTCCGCCTGGCTCCGCGGCAGCAGGGCAGTATAGTCATCTTCACAATATTGATTCTTCCAATCCAAGAACATAGTATATCTCTCTATCTGTTTGTGTCATCTTTGATTTCTTTCATCAGTGTCTTATAGTTTTCTGAGTATAGGTCTTTTACCTCCTTAGGTAGGTTTATTACTAGGTATTTTATTCTTTTTGTTGCAGTGGTGAATGGGAGTGTTTCCTTAATTTCTCTTTCTGATCTTTTGTTCTTAGTGTGTAGGAATGCAAGAGATTTCTGTGCATTAATTTTGTATCCTGCAACTTTACCAAATTCATTGATTAGCTCTAGTAGTTTTCTGGTGGCATCTTTAGGATTCTCTATGTATAGTATCATGTCATCTGCAAACAGTGACAATTTTACTTCTTTTCCAAGTTGTATTTCTTTTATTTCTTTTTCTTCTCTGGTTGCTGAGGCTAGGATTTCCAAAACTATGTTGAATAATAGTGGCGAGAGTGGACATCCTTGTCTTGTTCCTGATCTTAGAGGAAGTGCTTTCAGTCTTTCACCATTGAGAATGATGTTTGCTGTGGGTTTGTCATATATGGCCTTTATTATGTTGAGGTAGGTGCCCTCTATGCCCACTTTCTGGAGAGTTTTTATCATAATTTGTTGAATTTTTTCAAAAGCTTTTTCTGCATCTATTGAGATGATCATATGGTTTTTATCCTTCAGTTTGTTAATATGGTGTATCACATTGGTTGATTTGCATATATTGAAGAATCCTTGCATCCCTGGGATAAATCCCACTTGATCATGGTGTTTGATCCTTTTAATGTGTTGTTGGATTCTGTTTGCTAGTATTCTGTTGAGGATTTTTGCATCTATATTCGTCAGTGATACTGGTCTGTAATTTTCTTCTTATGTAGTATCTTTGTCTGGTTTTGGTATCAGGGTGATGGTGGCCTCATAGAATAAGTTTGGGAGTGTTCCTTCCTCTGCAATTTTTTGGAAGAGTTTGAGAAGGATGGGTGTTAGCTCTTCTCTAAATGTTTGATAGAATTCACCTGTGAAGCAATCTGATCCTAGACTTTTGTTTGTTGGAAGATTTTTAATCACAGTTTCAATTTCACTGCTTGTGATTGGTCTGTTCATATTTTCTATTTCTTCCTGGTTCAGTCTTGGAAGGTTATACCTTTCTAAGAATTTGTCCATTTCTTCCAGGTTATCCATTTTCTTGGCATAGAGTTGCTTCTAGTAGTCTCTTAGGATGCTTTGTATTTCTGCAGTGTCCATTGTAACTTCTCCTTTTTCATTTCTAATTTTATTGATTTGAGTCCTCTCCCTCTTTTTCTTGATGAATCTGGCTAAAGGTTTATCAATTTTGTTTATCTTTTCAAAGAACCAGCTTTTCGTTTTATTGATCTTTGCTCTTGTTTTCTTTGTTTCTATTTCATTTATTTCTGCTCTGATCTTTATGATTTCTTTCCTTCTACTAACTTTGGATTTTGTTTGTTCTTTTTTCTCTAGTTCCTTTAGGTGTAAGGTTAGATTGTTTATTTGAGATTTTTCTTGTTTCTTGAGGTAGGCTTGTATTGCTATAAACTTCCCTCTTAGAACTGCTTTTGCTGCATCCCATAGGTTTTGGATCGTCGTGTTCTCATTGTCATTTGTCTCTAGGTATTTTTTGATTTCCTCTTTGATTTCTTCAGTGATCTCTTGGTTATTTAGTAACGTATTGTTTAGCCTCCATGTGTTTGTGCTTTTTACGTTTTTTTCCCTGTAATTGATTTCTAATCTCCTAGTGTTTTGGTCAGAAAAGATGCTTGATATGATTTCTGTTTTCTTAAATTTACTGAGGCTTGATTTGTGACCCAAGATGTGATCTCTCCTGGAGCTTGTTCCGTGTGCACTTGAGAAGAAAGTGTAATCTGCTGTTTCTGGATGGAATGTCCTATAAATATCAATTAAATCTATCTGGTCTGTTGTGTCATTTAAAGTTTGTGTTTCCTTATTAATTTTCTGTCTGGATGATCTGTCCATTGGTGTAAATGAGGTGTTAAAGTCCCCCACTATTATTGTATTACTGTCGATTTCCTCTTTTAGAGCTGTTAGCAGTTGCCTTATGTATCGAGGTGCTCCTGTGTTGGGTACACATATGTTTATAATTGTTATATCCTCTTCTTGGATTGGTCCCTTGATCATTATATAGTGTCCTTCCTTGTCTCTTGTAACATTCTTTATTTTAAAGTCTGTTTTATCTGATATGAGTATTGCTACTCCAGCTTTCTTTTGATTTCCATTTGCATGGAATATCTTTTTCCATCCCCTCACTTTCAGTCTGTATGTGTCCCTAGGTCTGAAGTGGGTCTCTTGCAGACAGCGTATAGATGGGTCTTGTTTTTGTATCCATTCAGCAAGCCTGTGTCTTTTAGTTGGAGCATTTAATCCATTCATGTTTAAGGTAATTATTGATATGTATGTTCCTATTACCATTTTCTTAATTGTTATGGGTTTGTTTTTGTAGGTCTTTTCTCCTCTTGTGTTTCCCACTTAGAGAAGTTCCTTTAGCATTTGTTGTAGAGCTGGTTTTGTGGTGCTGAATTCTCTTAGCTTTTGCTTGTCTGTAGAGCTTTTGATTTCTCCATCAAATCTGAATGAGATCCTTGCCGG